TTTACAGCATAAATCAGGCTTTCCTTAAACATCCAGGCATGCTTTAAATCAGCAGTGCTGTGGTTCACAAACCACCAGAGGTTTTTATGGAGACGGTGATGCATTAAAGAGAGTCACCACTATGGTCAGCACACAGTCAGTTGTCAGAGACAACTGCCTGCATAGTCCTGATGGATAATTCAGTCCCAAACATCTCTTGGGCTGATTTTCTCCCCTTACTTCTTAGATCAGGGATGCAACCTTCCATTTGTACAGCAGTGATAAAAGCTGTTGAATGCAAGCCTGAATTGCTTTAAGTCACAGGTAGCTGTGACTTGTTAAAGCCCTCCTGTGTTCCTGCAGCTTTGAACAGCCTGTGCCCCTGGTTCCTCTCCATTCCAAAGCAGTTGCCTGCCCCCCCCACATCAGACATGAACGGAGATAAAGCTTCAGAAACCATTCCTCAAGCTGTTTTTCCTAGGTTTGAACTCTTCAAAGATCATGTGTTCAAGCTTTTCCACCTAAAGTCTACAGACCAAAAACCTTCCCTATTAAAAATACTACATCAACTGATTAAATATTACATGTTCTGTTAAATAGCATGATTAATAATATTACATGGGACTTACTACAATACACCAATAAAGCAGGGCTAAAGCTTGATATCCCAACAGCCAGAAAGGCTTCTGGTGCAGGATGGCAAGCAGAAAACCCCAGGATTCTCCTCCTGAGGAGTGGGGTAGGACCCTAGAAAGTTGCACCTTTCCCCGGTGTAACTATAACAGATGATGCCTGGTGGTAGGAGGAAAGTAGAGGAGATTAAAGCATCAGCTTCCTTCAAATCAGGACAAACCCACATTGATTACATGGGAGGAGAATTTCATGCTGCTTTTGAAGCCTTCTGTGAGGAGGAGCCTTAAGAAGTGTGGTCAGTGATATCCTAGAGAGCTTCCAGGAGCATGTGTGCTCACACAGGGCTTCCTATCATTTGATGGTATTGAGTTGAGCCAGCCAGACAGGGAGGAGGAAAGTGACAGAGCAAAGCACAAAGGGAGCAAAGGGCCTTGGAGACTGGGGAAGAAGCAACAGGCAGAACAAGCAGCTTAGGCTGGGGTTTATCGCCAAGGGGGGCTGAGACTGACCAGGCTAAGGCAAGGAGCCTGTTTACAGCAGGATCTCCTTCGTGGGTTACACAGCAAAGTGCACTGCATCCCATGGATGTCGTGGGCACGATGACCAGTTTGAAGGGGAGAAGTCAGACCTGCCATGGGCAGCAGGGTCAAGAAGAGACAGGCTGGAGGAGGCAGAAAGACACCCAGGAGCCAGCAATACCCTTTTTAAATCCATAACATACATTACTAACGTAAAAAGGGATAAAGCAATGTTCTCATTCATTTGAAGATACAGTGGAAATTTCAGAAGACACAAGCTATTTCAGTGCAGCTCTTACATGTCTTGCTACAGCGATGTGTCCTCAAAAGCTAAGCATCATATCCACAGCCCATGTACATGGGAGAAGCTTTGTAGACAAGGAAATAGAAGAGCAGATTCCCCCAGAACAAATACAAACCATCAGTTCATGCAGTCAGAGCCTAGCTTGTGTAGCCAGGCACAGCTCCACTGAAAGGAGTAAGCATTAATGGCACATAGACAGAAACAGTTTGGATGGTTTAATACTGGAGAAGTCCAAGAGCCCCATCCCTTGGATTTGAGATGATGCCACAGCCAGGGATGAAATCAAGTGAGGTGAAGGAAAAGCAATGCCAACAGCTCTCCTTAGTCTCTGGGGCTGCTATGATACCCCACACATCAGCTAGCTTTCTTATCCCATCCCTATTAGCTTGGGGGCAGCATGCAAACACTTGGAGATGAGTGTAGGTCCTTCCTTCATATACATCAGGATGCTTTTGCAGCATGCTCTGCCCTGGTTGTTCCATTCTCCGATGGAACAACCCAGGAGTGTTTGCCAGAAAGGGACTGAAGGGAGGGAAGAAGAAAGTATCTAACTCCCAAATCATTGTAAGAAATTCATTAGTTATTATTTCAGCTGCGTGACCTCCTGAAGGGACTTTCTGGAGAGCCAGATTATGCAGTCAACTAAATATAAATAAGTATGGAAAGGGCAGAGATCACTTTGTTTGTGGGATGTAAGGTTAAGTTTCTTGTAGGGTGCATCCATGTAACTTCCAGCAAATCAGTCTGGCCCAACCACACTGTTGTATCTCCCCAGCCTGAGGATACCTCCCCAGCTGGCAGGCATGGCACAAGCAAATGTGTTCCTTTCATATGGGGAGCCCTGACTTCCAGACTTCCTGCCAGTCCCGCAGGGACACAAGCACATTGCATTGCTGTGAGGTTTCCAGCTGCAGTTCAAGTGGGCTGCAGCTTCAGACACATTGCAAAGACCAGGTCCCAGCCAGGCACACTACTCTGGGCAAGGGCCTTATCCTTCCTTAGCTGCAGCACTTAGATAGGGGAAACTCGTGAGTTCCTTTCCATTTGCATTTCTTCTGACACCTTCAAGGGTAAAGCACATGCCACAAGAACCAGCCAGTCTCCCTGAGCCCTAAAGCTTCATCCCATCCACTCATTTTGAATGTTGATTAAATAATTGCTGGTTTTATGTAGTCTTTAAGCTGCTAAGGAACAGCTGATCCCTAGAAACCTCTTTACCTTTCAAGTGAGGGTGTAGTAAGAAACACAGCTAATCACATTTGCTAGGAACCAAGGATTAAATGGAAGAGGAAGCTCTCGCCACAAGATGTGGTGCCTAAAACCAGAATCCCTTTGGTGGTCAGTGATATCCCTATGCTTGTGCTCGTGCTCCTTAATAGATGAACACCAACTTTAAAGTATTAGATGGAAGTATGTACACCCTCCACAATATTTACTGACACAGCCAAGCGCTGTATTATAGGTGCACACATGAGTAGGGGAATTATGCAGTGTACATATATATATAGAGATGAGACATCTGCACCTGAATAAGAATGGCTACCAGAAGTTGCAAGACAAAACAGCATCTTTAACTCGTAAAAAACACAGAGGAGTGAAAAGTTTAAGTCCCTACAGGCATCCTCCACACCTACAGTATACTTAAAGCCTAAATATGGTATCAGAGGTGATCTGGGTATTGCATATAGAAGCATGCATACACTTCTCTAGACAGTTAGAGCAGTACTTTCCTATACCCTACCTGCATTTAATTTGATTTCTTAAAGAGCCTTTAAATCTTCCATTTCAATCAGTGAGTGTAACATCCAGACTCCCTCATGCTTCACAAACACACAGGCACAGATTGAACCCGGGGAATATGAAACGTGAGGAAACATTTTGCTGTACCGCAGGCAGCAGCAGTGTATGTATATAAACCTCAGCTGAACAGAGCATAAAAGCTGTTCAGCATCAGTTGCAAACCCAAGCAGACAGATGAGAAGCAACCTCAGAGCCAAGACCCTGATTCACAGGAGCACAAGCTTAGCTCAGGTCTGCACAGCCTAGGACAGCTTGTTAAATTCAGATAGGAGCAGCAGGGCCAAAGTCAAAGCACAGAGCCTTTGTTTTGAACAGATGCAGAGAGCTTTTCTTCCCCCCCTCCCCGAAACAAGATTGCATCAGTACCACAGCCACACAGGTTATTTGCTCAGTGGGAACCTAGCAGAGTTCAAGCTCAAAGGTTCAAACAAGTCCAGTTTGCAGCTGGCAAACCTAAACAAGACCAGGCAGCTGGCCTTGAGCTGAGTCACCCACAATAACGAGGCTGAAAATGTTGACTTAACCCATTCAATCACCAAAACCCAGAAACCCCTGAACACTGCAGACAAGAAAGCATCTATCTGCCTTTTGCAGAATGAAAACCCACATAAACCAATTTTCCAGAGCTTTTTCCAAGCTTCTGTGTACATGCTGCGTACAAATCAACTTCTTGGGAGTCATTTGTTCCTATTCAGCAGAGCAGACTGTACATCCTTAGTGGATGTGCACTGAAGTCAGCTCAGCAGGGCTAACAGCACACATTCAGGCATGTGATTAAGTAGTTCACTAACTGGACAAGCTAAGGACACGCTGACTTTTTTGCTCCTTTAGCAGAGAGATTTCATCTCTGCATGCTTCTTCCTCCAGAAGTCTGAACTTGCTGGAGTGAGATTGTTTGTTCCCCTTTGAAAAAGAGCAGCGAGGGAGCAATCAACTTTGGTTTACCTCTTGCGAAGCCATAAATTCCAGACGTGTGATGAAAAATGGACACGAGAACTCTGAAGTGGATTGCTTATTTATAGGAAAGAAACCAAGCAGCAACGTAGAAAGCTTAGCAGACAGCAAGCCGAATACACTGATGTGTCCACTCTGAGGCCGCTGATGCCTATAAAAAACGTGTTTTGAAGTTATTAGTTAGTCATTGCAGAGGAAATTAAAACCCTCAGGATATTCGTTTATGGGAGTGCAGGCTCTTGGAGCAGAGCAGTGGGTTGGGCAGCTCACAGCACCATCCAGGCTGGAAGCATGTTGCTAAAGAGGTTGTGACTAAGATTGTTCCTGCTCCTGCTTCCCATTACTGGCTTGCCCGGCATCACCCACATAGCAGTTTCAGGAAAGGCTGTAAAGCAACCAGCTAACCTCAAGCTGAATTGCAAATGATGATACCTGCCTTATGAGTTTTGGAAAATGAGTGATTCATGGCTGCTCAGAGCCCAGACACAGACCAGGGGGTTACTGCCTATGTATCTCCTCAAGAGGTCACACTCCTGAGGTAGGATGGCGACATCAGAAACTGCTAAACTAACTAGGTTACTGCTCCCCTTTATCATTATCTTAACTAGGAGTCCCTCCAGTAGCTGCCACAGCCCAAGGTGCTCAAGCAGAGCTGAAAAGCAACACAGACATTCAAGCATTTATTCAATCACAGCCAGCTAAAAGGCTTGAAGAAAAGTAAATAATACCATGCTGAAGCATAGCTTATTCAAACAAAAACCCCAAACCTCTGCATATTCCAAAACCCTTTCTAGCAATACAAGTAACCTTACCTCCTACTTCTTGTCCTGCAAAGGTCCACTGATGCAAAGCTGGTTTGGGCATCCTCAGACAGCAAAGCCAACCTTTGGAAGTAGCTGACAAGGAGATCATAGAATAGTTAGGGCTGGAAAGGACCTTAAGATTAGTTTCAACCGCCCTGCCATGGGCAGGGACACCTCACACTAAACCATACCACCCAAGGCTCTATCCAACCACCACCACCAGGGATGGAGCATTCACAGCTTCCCTGGGTAACCCATTCCAGTGCCTCACCACCCTCACAGTAAAGAACTCCTTCCTTATATCCAATCTAAACTTCCCCTGTTTAAGTTTGAACCTGTTACCCCTTGTCCTAACACTACAGTCCTTAATGAAGAGTCCCTCCCCAGCATCCCTATATGCCCCCTTCAGGTACTGGAAGGCTGCTATGAGATCTCCACGCAGCCTTCTCTTCTCCAGGCTGAACAGCCCCAACTTTCTCAGCCTGTCTTCATATGGGAGGTGCTCCAGTCCCCTGATCATCCTCATGGCCCTCCTCTGGACTTGTTCCAACAGATCCATGTCCTTTTTATGTTGAGGACACCAGAACTGCACACAATACTCCAGGTGAGGTCTCACAAGAGCAGACTAGAGGGGCAGGATCACCTCCTTCAACCTGCTGGTCATGCTCCTTTTGATGCAGCCCAGGATACAGTTGGCTTTCTGGGCTGCAAGCACACACCAAAGCCAGCTCATAGTCAGCTTCTCACCAACCAACACTCCAAAGTCCTTCCCTCCTGGGAGAGTGAAGAGCTCCTTATAAACACCAAGGCAGGAGAGGAAAGAACTTATTAACCTAAAGAGCAGCAGCTGGGTGAAAGGATTCAGGTTGGGATCTAGAGGCTGGGCGATGTGGGCAATGTCATCTGCAAGGAAGGCAAAAGCTGTGAAGCTAGTGAGAAGTATTGTACAATGCAGTACTTGTAGTAAGGGCTGGAAAAATGGTCCAGGAGAGGTATCACAGTATCACAGTAGGTTAGAGATTGGAAGGGACCTCAAAAGATCATCTAGTCCAATCCCCCTGCCGGAGCAGGAACACCTAGATAAGGTTACACAGGAACGTGTCCAGGCGGGTCTTGAATGTCTCCAAGAAGGAGATTCCACAACCTCCCTGGGCAGCCTGTTCCAGTGTTCCGTCACCCTCACTGAGAAGTTTCTTCTCAAGTTTAAGTGGAACCTCTTGTGTTCCAGTTTGTACCCATTGCCCCCTGTCCTATCATTGTTTGCCACTGAGAAGAGCCTGGCTCCATCCTCGTAACACTCCCCCTTTATATATTTATATGCACTAATACGGTCACCCCTCAATCTCCTCTTCTCCAAACTATAGAGACCCAGCTCCCTCAGTCTTTCCTCATAAGGGAGATGCTCCACTCCCTTAATCATCTTAGTTGCCCTGCGCTGGACTCTCTCCAGCAGGTCCCTGTCCTTTTTAAACTGAGGGGCCCAGAACTGGACACAATATTCCGGATGAGGTCTCACCAGGGCAGAGTAGAGGATGAGGATGGTGCAGGACTGAGGATGGCTCTTGCCAGGCCTGTGTCTGTGTTAATGTAGCTGCCAGACCATTGAAGACAGAATGAGCCTCCAGGCACTAGAGGATCACTAATGCAAAGCAAGCCATGGTCTATCAGCACACTTAGACAAAGTCACTCTAGTCATTCCCAGAGGCATGCTGCCAGAATCAGTCATAGAATCCCAGCCTGATTTGGGTTGGAAGGCACCTTAAAGCTCATCCAGTTCCAATCTCAGCCATGGGCAGGGACACCTTCCACCAGAACAGGTTGCTCCAAGCCCAAAGGCAAATGCAGCCAACCTGCTGTGCAGTGGGTTTCCTGTCCCGAGCTGTGCTCACCCCAGCCCTGCACATCAGCCGGTGGCCTTCTCTGAAGCATGGTTAATGTCAGTGGCACACACCAGATTGCCTTATTTGATGCCAAGTACTTCTTACCCTGGTGGGATTGTTTGGCATATAGAAATGTAACACCTTCTGTGTAAGGGCAGCCCCACATATTTTAAATAGTTGGACCATTCTTGCCATAAATAAAAGATCAGAGTAGCTTTATTGACTGCAGTGGAGTTACGCCAGTTTATTCCAAGTGAGAGTTTGGCCCCTTGACTTCAATGAAGCTATGTTGGTTAATCCCAGATGGAGACTTGGCCTGGTACAATCCCCTCCAAAAGCCCTGGGATATCAGTAACACAGAGGCTGAATCATGGCTGTTACTCAGAGCCTGTGTGGTTATCAAGACCCTGTACCTACTGCGTGTGAAATGCTGCCAGGCTGGGGCCAAGCAATTGCAATCACTGCTTTTAGGGATCAGGGTGTGGTGAGTGAGGGCACATTCTTCAAATGCTGCCTCATGAGAGGGGGAAAGTTTCAGATCAGGGTCTTTTCCTCTGCAGACATCTGGGAACATCACCCAAGATGCGGCTCTGCCACAGCTGGGCATGGTGACATTGAGCAAGTAGATGGGGACCCTGCTTCTTCACATCAGGTTTTTTTTTTGTGATGCTCTTTTAAGATCCATAAGTGTAAAAATGGAAGAATTTAATCTCCTGAGCTTCAGGGAATCTGTCCCAGCATCTGTTTGCCAGTTTTAAAGAGCAAACACAGCCTCTTGAACCAAAGGGAAAACGTTCTTCCCTACTTCGGATGCAAAAATAACCCAGGGTCTTTTTTCAGCAGTCACCTCCCATTCTCTCTCAGGGCAGACAAAGGTTTGCTTCCCAGTGTTACAGGCACAAGGGCCATACTTCTTGCAGGTAATGAATCCATTGAAAATGAAAATCGCTTGACTTCCCTTTACTCATACACACACACAGGCATGGAGAGATGATGAAGGTGTGCTGTACATTGCAGTGTGGAGAAACACCAAAATAAACCAATTCAAAGGCAGATGCTGATGGTTTTGGAGTCTCAAAGTGATAAAAACACAGAGTGGACAAGTCCCGGGATATACTTCGATCAGGCATTGGAACAGGCTGCTCAGAGCGGTGGTGTATTCACCGTCCCTGGAAGTGTTCATGCAGCGTGTAAACAAGGCCCTCAGTGACACTGGTTAGTGTTGGGGAACAGTTGGACTTGATCTTACAGGTCTTTTCCAACCTGGCTGCTTCTACAATTCTATGGCTGTACGTAGCCCACATCCCCAGCACATTAATCATGCAGAGACATCATTCCTGGCTATAGGATGCCAGTGTCTCTTCCCAGGTGGCTGGGTGGAGTTTCCCCTCTGTTTGCTTTGAGGCTGCACTATGCACTCAAGGTGACAACAGAAGAAGGGTTCGTCATTGCATGCATAGGGGCATGGTGTTGCTGTGGGGAAGAAAGCAATGCCTAAGCTTGCAGTTCGTTTGCTTCGGCTCTGCCTTCCAAGAGCTTCTGAAGTCAGGCATCTGGAGCGTGATGTAATCTGAAGATTGATCAGCAGCAGCACACGTACAGCTGTGCACATCTGGCCTACAGGTGTTTCAGCTGCTATTTGTCAGTGACTGTATTGAACATTAAAAAGCACCCCAAGTTCATAAGGCAATCGTCCCTGTCCTGTGGATTGCTAACAGAAGCCCATGAAACGCCATCGATTTTGTGCAAACTGCCTCCTCTTTTTAGTGGGTGGCTCCATATTTTGTTTTATTCTACTTTTTTTTAAGTAACAAGTTTAAACCATAGGTGCTTTTGAAGCAGGGGGTTTATTGTTGTTATTAATTCCACTGGCATTAATCCATGCTATTGAGTCAGTCATAACTATCGCCCCCTTACTGATTTAGGAGTCAGTGTTATTACAGTGTTTGTGTTGCACTGATAAAAAAAAGCTAAGGCTATTCCTCCTTGTGCTCAGCTACGTACAGATACAGCAATTCTTGCTCTCAAAGTATCTAATCTAAACAGGGCAGGGGCAGGTAAAGTGGGGAAATGGGTAGGAAAGGTCTTTTCCATGGGGTAGGACCTGCAGTGCCAACTCTCAGAGCCAGAGAACGATGCTCGTTGCTTCCCAAACTGATGCTGCCACTCGTGAGGTTTGCAAACTGCAGCTGCATACTTGCTGCACACAGGAAAAATAAGGGGAACAGGGAAGCTGCTGGCTGAGAAGGGCAGGCTAAAAGAACTCCCTTGGAAAAAAAGAATAAAGCTGCAGATATATCTATATTTAGTGAAGATATTTTTCCTAGGATTTGTATAATTTGGGCAGGAACGCAGAGAGGAGGAGGACTGTTCAATACTCTCTGCTGTTCTAAAACGGGGTGGAGGAGGTAGAAGGGCATTTTTACAGCCCATTTCATATCTCAGTTGTGTTTATCCCTGTAGAGACAGACAGGGACCAGAGATACATTTCACACTGAGTGCCAGCATCATCAGAGCATGCCGCACATCAAGCTGCATAGTGCCAGCTGCCCTAAGGCACTGTCTTCACATATTCCCAAGAGGAAGAAGAATCATGTTCCTACTGATATTTTCCTCCAAGATAGTCTCAATCCGCCTACAAGAACAGGTTTGCCTTAAACAAATACATTATAGTTCCCAAACTGCTTAGCACAGGTACACAGTCAGCCATTGTAGCCCAGCCAATGGCATAAGTCATTGGGCTATAACACATCATGCAACTGCCTCCTAAAATACATTAAGCCTTAGCTTGCAAGCTGTAATTGTGCAGACAAAGGTTTGCACATGGTCTTTGGTGTGAGCATCTCAGTAGAAGTGTATGGCACATCCGTAAGAACTTTGCCCTCCTTACCTGATGTCTACATATGATATTTCTATCTCTAGCACTGCTTTGATGTGTGCATTTCAGGAAGGGAGAACCAAGTGCCTGCCTGAAGCTGCCTGTGTTCTGGCACCTGGAATTCATGTTGATTTGAGAAGTCCAGAGGATGGGATGCTCATGAGACAGAGGAAGATATGAAATAACTGTCCTCTTCTTTGGCGTAAGCCTCAACATCTTCAGAGCCACTCTTTAAGATGCACGTCAGCATCTGTGCAACCACTTTTCCCAACCCCGTATATTTCGTTTGAGCTCTCCAACAGGAATATCTCATTCCCTACC